CCTTCACTTAGGGCGGGCACGATGCTTGCTGGGGGCCTTGGCCCAGAACATGTACACCACGGCAAGGCCCCTTTGAGGGCTCAATCCTCACAAAAGTATGCGGCGTTGGCGGAGATTTCACAATAGCCTGTGGAGTAATTCGTAGTTCTTTTCATGCGAAACGGTTTCACCCAGATCGAGCGACAGTGCAGATCCCAGGGCTTGATCCCTGGACCTACCCGTACCCCTGCACAACTATCCGTAGACCCCGTCAGCCTCGAATCTTAGGACTAGTAGTCCTAAGAGTCAGACTATCGGTCTAACCTTAGGATTAGTAGTTCTAGGAGTCAGACTATCGGTCTAACCTAGGTCCTTCCAGAAGACGGTTGACCGTAGCTGAGTCAGTGAGGGATAAGTAGTCGTAAGCCCTAGCGAAGGGTCAGCAATACTCAGTATACCTCGTTAGGAGTTTCTAGAAGTCGCTAATCGACTCTTCGAGACTGTAAGGGTCAGTCAGTCAGTCTACCCAGTCCAGTCAGCACTTTCCAGTCCCAGTCCACCTTGTCCAGTCAGCAAGTACCAAGCGGGACTGTGCACATTTCGGACCTGGGACCAGTGGCAGGCCAGACCACCAGCAAAACAGTATAAATAAAGAGGCAGCGCCCAACCATCCATTCATTCGCCTGTGAGCCATGCGGAAGCGCTGCCTATGCGACTTGTGCAAGGTCTGCAGGAGCCCGACGACGAAGAGGGAAGAGGTGGTTGACGACGACCATAGCCACCTAGAGGAGGAAGTCGACGGCGGCCATAGCTGCCGAGTGTTGACATCACAGTAGTGTGTAGTGTGTGTGTGTGAGGGTGCGTGGACATTCAGGGTAGATCCTAGTGTGTGCGTGCATGTGTGTGAACGAGAGGGAGTCTGTGGGATGGTGGACACAGTGTTCGGTTGGGAATTCAGACGGCGTTCAGCGGCCATAGCCTCTAGATTTAACAAATTGACTTAAGTTGTGTTCCTGGCCAAAGGCCATATCTCTGAGTTTTTTGTGTGGGGGCTAGGCGCCATCTCAAGTTTGTTGCTGATCTCCTTGTTGCAGAAGTTGTTTGCCATCGACGTCTACATGTATGCATATTAAGAGTGAAGTTGAGACAAGTCTGATTGCACATGTTTGGCTTTGGGTTCTCTGGGCAACTATTTCACATGGTTTGGAGGGCACTTCAGTAAGTCTGCAAATCAGATTGAAGTTTTGACCCTATCCCTTCCGCCCGGTGGTTTCTGGGGGCGATTTGATGAGGGACCATATTTAACATTTTCAATGATTATTTTTCTTTTAGGTATTTGGGGAATCTTTTTAAATAGAAAGAATATCCTTGTTTTCATTAGCAGGAATACCCTGTGTTAAATTCCGGGCCGGCCGGCGGCCCAGCCTCCGTCTGGCAGGGGTCCCGTGGCAAAGACCCAAGTTCTGTGTTTAGGCCATGTTTTAGACAAAGACGCCATCAAACCAGAAGATAGTAAGATCGCAACGATTGGAGATTGGCCTACACCCCGCACGTTGACAGAGTTGCGGTCGTTCTTCGGCCTAGCTAACTATTACAGGAAGTTTGTGAGAAACTTCTCCACCATTGCTGCACCCCTTCGCAGGTTGTTGAAGAAAGAAACAATCTGGAGATGGGAAAAGGACTGCACGTTTGCTATGAAGAAGTTGAAGCAGGCGTTGATAGAGTACCCAATCCTTAAGGTAGCTGATCCGTCCTTACCTTTCGTCGTCACCACTGACGTGAGCCGCTATGGTACAACAAGACGATGGCAACAGATATAGACCCATAGAGTTCATGTCTGCTAGGATGCCTTCAGAGAAGGTGGCGACATCTACCTACGAGAGGGAACTCTACGCTCTCAGGCAAGCATTAAAACACTGGAAGCACTACTTGCTTGGGAGGCACTTCAAAGTCTACTCAGGCCACGAGACATTAAGGTGGTTGAAGACGCAGGCCAAAATGACACCTATGACCAGTCAAAGGGAAGTATAATGTAGTTGCGGACGCTCTGAGTAGGGGAGCTGACTACTTTGGAGCAATAGTTCATTATCTGGATATAGGGAGAGACCTGCAACAGAAAGTTAGAGAGGCGTATGAGCGGGACCCTATCTATGGTGACCTCCTCAAAAGAGTAAAGGAGGCCCCAGAGTCCGAACCAGACTACCGCAGTATTGATGGGCTGCTATTCGAGAAGACTAACGTAGTTGACCGATTGTGTGGTCCTAATAGCGAAGAGATCCGTAGTTTGATCCTCTGGGAATGCCATGATACTGAGGGACATTTTGGTTGGCAAAAGACTCTAGCTAACCTCATGCGCGCGTACATACGGCCAGGGATGAAGGCCTACTGCATAGAGTATGTTCGCCGTTGTAAGGTCTGCCAGAGAAATAGGACCTCTACTCGTGCCCCTCTAGGTCTTCTCGGACCCTTGCCTATTCGTGATCAGCCAGGAGATTCAGTGTCCATGGATTTTATGGACACCCATGTCAAGAGTAGGCACGGCATGAGCCAAGTCATGGTAA